ACTCACAGGTAAAACACAGCCATCTGCAGACAATGGTCCTTGTTAATGGGAGTCATCAAGATTCCAAACCACCATTAATGGCCCACACTTTGCATAATTACAATAGGCCCTCAGAGTTATATTTTATATTTCTAGTTTTAGATACAAGAGTGGTACATTTATACAAATAGGATGATCACACTCAGTAGATTATAAGCTTTGTAATGATACCTTACAAGAAACCTTTTGCATGAAGCATATTCCAGTTACATTATATTCACTTATTATCATGTTTTTATAAAACCATATAGACTGCACAATGTCACAGACCCTATCAGTGGAGCTCAGCTGAACTGACTTTTCAGTTTAAAACAATGAGAGGATCGAGAGATCATAGGAAAAAGAAGAAATTTCAGCCTTCAAAGTCATTCTTGGTTTCTGATGTGAATCCTCTGACCTTGACATCCAACCCAAAAAGATTATAAGCAAATGTAGCCTTTATAGGGTAATAATGTGCAGGAGACAGTGGTTTTATAGAATTTAAATAAAAGAATCATCCAGACAGTGATGTAGGGTCTGGGTTCCTAGAACCAAGTCTCAGATTTTATTATTTATAAAGGTTAATCAAAGGAGCAGGGATAGAAGGAAGCGGTGCAAGCCCTGGCTCTAGTCAGCAGTCTTCTATATCTGACAGTGTCTTAGACCAAGATCATAAAGCCCAGGCCCGAGGAGAGGGCACAGAAATCTCTCTTGATTGACAATGGGGTCTGGGTCATGATGAGGGCTCCCAGGTGCTAAGGTAATACAAATAAATAATCATAACATGAGATGGACCATCCCACCATTCTCCTGATTGCCAGCTGCACGCTCATTTGCAGGCAAGTAAAGCAACTCATTTGCCAAGAGTCTTTGGCAAAGGGCAGGTCCCAATGTACCATCAGGGAAGATAACTGGAGAGTGTAAAAATCAGTGATATAGTCCGAGAACCGCTGAGAGTATCTTGATTATAACCCAGCTGAGCATTAACATGAGAAGCAGTGACACCCACAGAACTTGAATGAACAATGTTCCTGAAAGGTTCTTTGAGTGACTTGGAAATTATTTGTGAAGGTGCTGGACTGGACTCAACACTTCTACTATAGGCTTCCTGTGTGACCTTGGATAAATAATTTCTTCTCTCTGTCTCAGTTCCCCATCTGCAAAATGTGGATAATACTTCTTTAGACTATCCAGCTGTTTAGATTGTAAGCTCCTTGGGGCAGTGCCATATGTGTATGCACAGTGTGTAGCACGATGGGCTCCTGAACTCAGCTGATGTCTCTAGGGGCCACAGTAATGCAAATAATAAATAAGGTCTTCTCGTGGGAGAACTGGTCAGTCTGTTTTCTTCTCTGTTACACAATCACAAGCTGTGTGACTATGACAAGTTTAGCCCTGGGTGTTTTGAGCTGTACTAATTTTAATTCAGATTCTTTTAACCCCTTCCCCAATAAATAAAAACAAAGCCAGCAGCTGGGCCCGTTACAGACCCAGTGCTGTCTGCTCCCCCTGTTGCCCAGGCAGCACAGTTCCCCACACAGCTGAGTCCGAAGCTGAAGTGTGATGATGTCAGCATACTGTGCTGTACACATTCCAGGTGTTTCTTTAAACAGGAACAGCTCTTTAATTCCAATATTTGCTAAGTCAAATAATATCAGGGAATAATGTCAACATTTGCCAAGTCAAAAGGGCATGATGAATAATTCCAGGAATTATCTCCTGGTGGCACAGACTCTAAGTTCTGCATTAGCTTTCTGGTACTTCACGGTCACTAAAGTTAATGCTGGCCTTCAGCGTCACCTGTTTCACCGAGACTGCTCTTGGCTGCAACTTTAAATAGTTCCATATCTGATCCCTCCTCTCCTTTTAGAGAAGGGACTCTGGTTACAGGGGGATATAGAGCAGTAACATTTGTGTTAGGCTGTTGTGCAGCTTCACTCAGCCGCCCGCACTCCCTCACCGCAGCGAGTTACTCGGGGCT